TACATTTTATTGTTGGATGTAACTGGGACCCTGTGTACATAATTTCGCTCCACCACATGTACCACATGAGGTGCGAATGACAATAAAGAAACTCTGACTCTGACTCTGACTCTGACACATGTGGCACATGTAGTGGAACAAAATTGTGTACACAGGGTCCCAGTTACATCCAACAAAAGTATTAAAATGTAAAAGAAAAACACTACAGTAGTCCCTCGCTACTTTGCGGTTCGTTTATCACGGATTTTCAAAGTAAGATTGGACATGACACAATTGGCTGATTGATGAATGAGCCATGGGTTGTTTATTTAAAATTAAATTATTTTAAATGATTTTGCGCCATGTGCGAAACCCGCAAGTGCAAGGAAAAGTTCCCTCCTACAGCCGATCAGCTGATTTCCTTTTCTGCCATGCACACGTTTCTCCTGCTGCAGTTTTGTGAAGGGTTAACCCTTTGCTGTCCAGATACACCGATCGACTTTTGTCCATCCATCCATCCATCCATCCATCCATCCATCCATCCATTTTCTTCCACTTCTCCGGGGTCAGGTTGCGGGGGTAGCTGCTTAAGTAGGGAGGTCCAGACTTCCCTCTCCCCAGCCACTTGGGCCAGCTCCTCTGGGGGAATCCCGAGGCGTTCCCAGGCCAGCCAAGTAACATAGTCCCTCCAGCGTGTCTTCGGTCTTCTTCTGGGTCTCCTCCTGGTGGGACGTGTCCAGAACACCTCACCAGGGAGGCGTCCAGGAGGCATCCTAACCAGATGCCCGAGCCACCTCATCTGGCTCCTCTCTGTGTGGAGAAGCAGCGGCTCTACTCTGAGTCCCTCCCAGATGATCGAGCTTCTCTCCCCATCTCTAAGGGAGAGCCCAGACACCCTGCAGCGAAAACTCATTTCGGCCGCTTGTATCCGAGATCTCGTTCTTTTGGTCACAACCCAAAGCTCATGACCATAGACGAATGTGGGAACTTAGATCGACCAGTAAATTGAGAGCTTTGCCTTTTGACTCAACTCTCTCTTCACCACAACAGACATTCACTGCTGATGGCATTAAAAATGTTTAAACATTTAATTTATTGACCTTAAAATTAATTAAAGTTGGTTGGCAGATTTTGCTAGAATGTGTAAATTGTCTTTGCTTGACCAACCTTTCTTTTATTATTATTTTTTTCTTATAAATATATGAATAAAACAACTTTTTCCACATTCATTGTTTTAACCTCTGCAGTCAAATAAAAACATGTTTTGTTTTTGTTTGTTTAACAGTTGGTACTGAACATGACCAGGAAGTCATTGAATGTGCAGCAGTCTTTCTGTTTGAAACCTTCTACAATAAAGACCACTTGGGCACAGAGGAGACACGAGCCATTAAACATATGTTTGGGCCTTTCCCATCATCTGCAGCTGACACTTCCTGTTCTTGTGTGTCCCGGCTGGTGGCTCGACTTGGAGACTACAGAGTCGAAGACTTCATCAAGACTCAGAGTTCTCGTCACAGTCCCCAACGAGGTTCTGCATTTGGACGCAACATCTTGTTTTCATATGACTGCTACGCACTGGACCCGCTGAAAAACCTGCCTGGCTCTGGTATCCATGATGAGAACACCAGGCTAGACTTTCTCAGCTTTCTCAACAACCAGCAGGTTGGGAAGAATGTTGCCACTGAAGGTGCTCCCAGCTCTGTTCGGTCTTTGGGTTCAGGTGATGGATCTTTTCTTCAAAGGGAAGTGGAGAAATATCTGGAAGAAGGCAACATGATTTCATCTAACCCAGAAGATCTATGCACCTCCTTGTTTGAGATGTTGACCTCAAACAGAAGTGACAATGAACTGCAGAATGAGGTAAGGAGCAAATCAAATACATTTTTTTATGCAGCTTATTTGAAACAACCAAAGTTGGCCAAAGCACAATACAGGATCCCCTGCCCCCAATATTAAAACACATAATTTTAAAATACCAAAAGAAGTCAATTATATGGTTCAGTTGGTAGAGTTATGGGTCGTCGGATTGAATCCTGGCCCAGGACCTTTCTGGGTGGGGTTTGCATGTTTTCTCTGTGCTGTGTGGGATTTCTCGGGTTACTCCGGTTTCCTCCCACAGACCCACATGCATGTTAGCCTAATAGGTAACTCTAAATTGTCCCTAGGTGAGAGTGAAAGAGTGAATGGTTGTTGGTCTCATTTGTCTCTGTGTACCTGTGATGGACTGGAGACCTGTCCAGGGTGTTCCCCACCTCTCTCAGCTTATCAGTGGCAACATGTCAGTGTGGTCTGACATGATTTATTTCCCCACCTCATATGGGTCAACTACAACTACAACTGCAGCTATTTTAAGCATATATATTTCTCTTGCTCCTTGGTCAAGAGTACTATACTTAGCTTTTGTCTGTCTGTAATCCATCTTGATCGAACGTGGTCCAGCACGAGCGTACACCCATGGTGGAAACGCGGTATTGCACAGTACCGGTCACATGTGTGGGAACTACTGTATGTATGGTGGTGAATAAAATTTTTTGGCCGGGGTAGCCAATGGTGGCCTTGGCTACCGTTTTTTTCTAGCATGTTGGAGCAGCTCTGTTACTTTCATTCTGAGATTTTGCTTTTGGAAACTTTAATTCCTGTTTTTCTGGATGTAAATCACATATTTTGGATGACCGTTTCCTCTGGTATCGAATGCTGTTCAGCTGGAAGGATTTTTACTGATTTTTTTTTAGTTTTGGACATTTGTTATGATGTGTAACCATGGCAACAAGGCAGTTTTCTACAACCAACAGCAGCTGATTAACATCTCAATAGCTCAAATAATTTCTCAACTACAGCTCCAAATCTCAAATGAGTTGAAAGGATGTTCTGTGGATGCATTCTCATCTACCTGCCAGCTGTGCTCCAGTGTTTGACCACTGAGATCCTGGAACTAGAAGGAAACACGGCTCATGACAGTGGAAGGACAGGATCATCCCTCGGCACCTACAGTTGGCTGTCCACAGCGACGAGGAGCTCGGCAGACTGCTGGGAGGACTGGCCATCGCTTTGGGAGGAGTTCTGCCCGGCTTTCGGGCCTTCCTACAGCCCAGGGGAACTGAGAGGCCAGTCGAATCTGAGTGGACGGATTGGACGCATCTGCAGCCAGTTTCTTAGGATCCACTGTGGGATGGACCTTTACAAGAGATCCTTCCTGTCTACAGCCATCAGCATCTATAACATCTCTTAATGAAATGAGGATAACGAGTTACAACAACAAATAATTTCCATTTGGGATTAATAAAGTATTTTTGAATTGAATTGAATTGAATTGAATGTGGGGATAAAAGACATGTCCTGATCCAAAATAACATCAAGATTTTTAACATTAAAGTTGGAGGCCAGATTAATGCCATCTATGGAGAGAGAAAGACTGAAAAATTCATTCTGAAGGTGCTCAGGTCCAAAAACCAAAACCTCAGTCTTGTCTGTGTTCAAAAGGAGAAATTTAAGGGTCATCCAGGTTTTTATGTCTTTAAGACATGCTTGTAGTTTAAGTAGCTGATTGGATTCATTGGGTTTAATGGACAAATATAATTGTGTATCATCAGCATAACAATGGAAATTTATCCCATGCTGTTTAATAACTTAACCTAATGGAAGCATATATAAAGTAAATAAAGAGTATTGGCCCAAGCACTGAGCCCTGAGGAACAACATGACTAACTTTGGTGTATGAAGAAGATTTATTATTTATATTTACAAACGAATCTATCAGATAGATATGAATTAAACCATTTTAGAGTTGTTCCTGTAATTCCAACATCATATTCAAGCCTCTGTAGTAAAATATTGTGATCAACTGTATCAATTGCAGCACTGAGGTCTAACAGGACCAGTATAGACACAAGTACATTGTCTGAGGCCATGAGAATATCATTAGTGACTTTTACTAATGCTGTTTCTGTGCTATGATAAGCTCTAAACTCTGACTGAAACTCTTCAAACAGATTATTTCTTTGTAGATGTTCACGCAACTGACCTGCAACTCTTTTCTCTAGATTTTTTTAAATGGATGTTAGGTTAGATATAGGTCTATAGTTATCCAGAATTTCTGAATCAAGGTCAGACTTCTTAAGTAAAGGTTAAATTTTTTTTTAATCAGAATAATAACAAAAAAAAAAAAAACATACAAAAAAATTAAGGCAATGATAATTTCACATTTAACAAATCTATTTCAGCTAACATATGACAAAACCTCCCTATCAATAACAAAATTTTTATATAAAAATTATAACCTCGATATTATATTCAACAAGATACAGGTCCTTCTCAAAAAATGAGCATATTGTGATAAAGGTCATTATTTTCCATAATGTAATGATAAAAATGAAACTTTCATATATTTCAGATTCATTGCACACCAACTGAAATATTTCAGGTCTTTAATTGTTTTAATACTGATGATTATGGCATACAGCTCATGAAAACCCAAAATGCCTGTCCCAAAAATTAGCATATTTCATCCCACCAATGAAAGACAAGTGTTTTTAATACAAAAAACGCCAACCTTCAAATAATCATGTTCAGTTATGCACTCAATACTTGGTCGGGAATCCTTTTGCATGAATGACTGCTTCAATGCGGCGTGGCATGGAGGCAATCAGCCTGTGGCACTGCTGAGGTGTTATGGAGGCCCAGGATGCTTCGATAGCGGCCTTAAGCTCATCCAGAGTGTTGGGTCTTGCGTCTCTCAACTTTCTCTTCACAATATCCCACAGGTTCTCTATGGGGTTCAGGTCAGGAGAGTTGGCAGTCCAATTGAGCACAGTAATACCATGGTCAGTAAACCATTTACCAGTGGTTTTGGCACTGTGAGCAGGTGCCAGGTCGTGCTGAAAAATGAAATCTTCATCTCCATAAAGCTTTTCAGCAGATGTAAGCATGAAGTGCTCCAAAATCTCCTGATAGCTAGCTGCATTGACCCTGCCCTTGATCAAACACAGTGGACCAACACCAGCAGCTGACATGGCACCCCAGACCATCACTGACTGTGGGTGCTTCACATTGGACTTCTGGCATTTTGGCATTTCCTTCTCCCCAGTCTTCCTCCAGACTCTGGCACCTTGATTTCCGAATGACATGCAAAATTTGCTTTCATCCGAAAAAAGTACTTTGGACCACTGAGCAACAGTCCAGTGCTGCTTCTCTGTAGCCCAGGTCAGGCGCTTCTGCTGCTGTTTCTGGTTCAAAAGTGGCTTGACCTGGGGAATGCGGCACCTGTAGCCCATTTCCTGCACACGCCTGTGCACGGTGGCTCTGGATGTTTCTACTCCAAACTCAGTCCACTGCTTCTGCAGGTCCCCCAAGGTCTGGAATCGTCACTTCTCCACAATCCTCCTCAGGGTCCGGTCACCTCTTCCCGTTGTGCAGCGTTTTCTGCCACACTTTTCCCTTCCCACAGACTTCCTACTGAGGCGCCTTGATACAGCACTCTGGGAACAGCCTATTCTTTCAGCTATTTCTTTCTGTGTCTTACCCTCTTGCTTGAGGGTGTCAATGATGGCCTTCTGGAAAGCAGTCAGGTCGGCAGTCTTAACCATGATTGCGGTTTTGAGTAATGAACAAGGCTGGGAGTTTTTAAAAGCCTCAGGAATCTTTTGCAGGTGTTTAGAGTTACGTTGTTGATTCAGATGGTTAGGTTAATAGCTTGTTTAGAGAACCTTTTCATGATATGCTAATTTTTTGGGACAGGCATTTTGGGTTTTCATGAGCTGTATGCCATAATCATCAGTATTAAAACAATTAAAGACCTGAAATATTTCAGTTGGTGTGCAATGAATCTGAAATATATGAAAGTTTCATTTTTATCTTTACATTATGGAAAACAATCTTCCACTTCACTTCCGGCGAGCTGATGGACGGCAGCTCCCTCCGGCTTCTCTGCAGTCTTTTATCATCAAACTGACCCGTTTTTTCGAACCAGACTAAAGTTGGTCCTCCTTCCAACCGAATTCGGTGTTCAGTGACTCAGAAAGTCGGACGGGACCGTCCAAGAATATATTTTGGTCCAGGACCGGCCGCTCTGAGCGCACCCTGCCGGCCAGGTGACCCCTCGAGCTGGGGAGTCGTCGCATGAAGGTCCAGTGTTTTTTCTCTCTCTCGACCTCAACAAACTCTTATCTGGACCTTTATGGTTCTACCTGGTTCCGACAAAAATCGCCGGGTGGTATTTCGCTGGTTTTCTGCTGGACTGGCCCTCGTGGTGTCTTCATAGTTGTGGGGGAAGTGTACCTGTGACCCTCGAATTGGACCAGAACCGAACCGAGGTGGCTGTGGGGATTTCGTCTTCAATAGAGCCGGTCTCGGCTTCAGTGAGCAGCCAGTTACTTTCACCGAAGGACTGTCCACCTCCGTGGAATCACTGTGTTCACCTGGAGGAGACGCTCCGGTGCTTTGAAGTGCCGCCGGACCGGAGCAGAACCGGACCAGGGATATCTTCAGCCTCTTCGTCTCTCGTGCTGTGGAGCACCAGAGCTGGACTGGAGCAGAATCAGACCGGACCATTGTCGACTTAAGCCTCTCCGGTCAGTCTCGTTTTTCACCGGGGGTGCCTCTTGTGCTGTCGGGTGCGGAGGTGTCGTGCAGAGAAGCGGAGGAGCAACGTGAAGGAGCAGGACTGCGTGGTGCTCGAGAGAAGTTCGGAGTTTGTATCGGAGTTGCTGCAGGCCTCTATCCAAACTCACCTGGATAATAATTAATTTTATTCCGGATCACGCTGTAGGCCCCTGTTGACCTGAAACGAGCTTGGATCATCCCTTTCACTTCAAGAGGATTTTCTGGCAGCTCGCTCTGCTATTTGCTGCGAATTATCTGTTTCT